AAAAAAAAAAAATAAAAAAAAAAAAAAAAAAAAAAAAAAAACAGAAGTTTTGAGAAGGAATTGATTATACTTCATTAAATGCTGAAATATAGAACATCTGTTGAACAAAAAATATTTTTCTTTGGTATTATTCGTTAAACAAAAATGATATACTCAAATTCAATCATTCTACAATAAGTGCACAAACAACAAAAACTTATACATGGCATACATAGATTACAGGAAAGCATTTTAACAATATTACAAATTCATGGTTGTGTGAAGTGCCTCCTCTTCTTCTGCACCATTTGACTGAAGGGTTGACATTGCTTCGGCAATGACTATGTCAGGATAGAAGACACCACACAGTAATTAGGGCTGTTTTTGTGTAATGTCTATGTTGTTGCTGGGTTATGCAAGCAGTTGCATGAACAGGCAATTGGATTTAAGATGGAGGAGGTCTGAAAGACAGCGATACATGAGAAGGAGGTTATCTATTGGATTAAAGATAATGAAAAAAGTCTTATTTTAATTCAAGCTGTAAGCCACTATGATACAGTCCATATGAACAGATGTCCAACTCATGGCAAACAGAATCTATTAATTGAAATTCTAAAACAACTGGACCTCATATTGATGTGGGCTGCTGTGGAAGAGCCATTTGTCCTGTCACAATGTGCATTTTCTAATTTGAAAATAACTACAACTTGGGTTGTAGACTTCCATGATGGGCCTATATTGGACTAATGCTTGGGATCATTGGTTAGATCCCAGTCCTTCAAACCAGTAGCCTGATGTTTTAACTATCTTGACCATCTGGCCAGTGATACACACACCATTGGCAGTATTGGAGAGCAGGGCTTTGGAGCCTGAGCTAGTTGAAGCATTCACTTTTTGTTGGAGCCAGAGCACTATATTGCTTAGTAAACTTTGCTCAAAAGGCTCCAGTTCAAAATCGTTTGTTTTCTAGGCTTAGAAGTTAATTTTTTTAGCTATTGTTTAAAAAGTTCCAAGCTTTTTGAACGTTTAAAAACAATTTTTGATTAGGTTCATAAAGAACTTATATTTCTGGTATACTACCAGAGATGTATTCCTGACCTATATTATTATTATTTTTTTTTTCAAAATTAAAATTAATTTATATTAACTGTAATAAATAATGTCATAATATGGTTAATANGACACCCTGTAAATTTATTTAAAGTTTCTCTATTTAGAGCACTGTATCTGTAGCCAATAAATGAATTGACACCAAAATTTGCATGCAGACTATGCAAAGGATGCAGGAAGTGATTTTGCAAAAAAAATTTAAACACATAAATTTAAGAATAATTTTTAAAATAGGACAAAGTTAGACTTTTAGGCACTGTCTAATTTCATTGTGTGTGCAAAAAGGACAAAGAAGACACTTTTATGTATTGTCAAAATAGACAATATTAAATTCTTTTATATATTGTCTATTTTGACAATACATAAAAGAATTTAAAAATTTTTCTTAAATTTATATGTTTAAATTTATTTGACCTGGTAATTTTTATCAGAAAAGTTTAGTTTAAAAACTTCCATATATTTTCCTTTAAAGCACACCTTATGGAAAAAAAAACACAAGACAAATCTATTTATTTGTTCCACAAGGAACATGCCCAGAATCTACTAATGAATCTAAAGACTCCATCAATGGCTGAGACTTAGGCAGGACCTTCGGATCCTCTATACTTGTCGCTAGGCCCCCAACATGTCAAGACCAGTTTCCTACCTTGGAGAACATGGACGGGCTGTCAGATTGTCTATGATAATCTCATGACATTGCATGACCATTGTGCACTCGGATATACACTCAAAGCCTATAGTCGTCAGATGAGCATGAAAAATGATGAATATGTTAACGTTATTTCAAGGGAATACCGGGTCAGCATTGTTCTTGCCAAAGGATGTATGGTACTGTACCTGCATATTCTAAAAAATGGACAAGGATATTAATAAACGATCATACAAATTAGTGAGAGAAACTTCATTTGAACTTTATAAAAACAGAAATAAGAAAAAGGAAGGCTGGTTACAATCAAAAAGACATAGGCAATATCAGGTATGTTCTTTTTTGTTTTTAAATAGTTCTGTACATAATAATAATAAAAAAAAAAACACAGTGCATCACACTCTATGAGATCCATGTTGACATTAAACATGCATCTGAAATGAAACTGATTATCAATGCATTCTGTGAAAAATAGAACTTGTCTGACCACTGCCTTTCTGTTTATGAATTTTTACATCCTCAAATCAAAACAGCAGTGCATTTTCATGCTTGTCTGACATTAACCTTAAAATAATACATTAAAATATCACTTTAAGGTCTTTGTTATTTATCGTGCTTTGTTTTGTGTATATTGCAAATTCTTCTTTTATACATCCTTTGAGACCAAAATTTGTATAGACTATGCAATCTGCTTACTGATTACAGCTAGCGTGCTCTGAATAGAGAAACTTTAATTATGGACACCATGTATATAAGAACGTGTAAATTGTCAACATAAAATACAAGGTGTCTCAAATGAAACTTGACATTTTCCAGTTGGCTATACCAAAAACTATTCATCAGAAAGTTATGAAAGTTTGGGAATACCTTAATGAGATGATGGGAATTTTTTCCAAAACAAAAATAGTTAGTTTTAAAAACAACCACTAGAGGAAACTTTTCAAGCTGTAATAGTGGAATATTGGCCTGCAAAATCCTCAGCCCTAGAGCCAAAAATCACATGGATTCAAGTCTATCTCAAACACTTAGTCTAGCATGATTCCATAACATTGCTGTCAGACTTTAAGGACACCCTTGCATGCTATGTGCTTAACATTCCAAGGCATACTCTGCATGCAACCATTGAACTTGCTGTTTTACATTTTTAGATGGTAGCAGACAATGGTGGCCAACATGTTTTGTTCACATTAGACATAATTTGTATAGCCTATTGTTAAGTTTTATATAAAGCTATAATGTGCCCTCTAGTGTAGTGGTGGTTTTTGGAACTAATTATTTTTGCTCTTGAAAAAGATTCCCATCATCATGTTAAAAAATACAATTCTCAAACTTTCATGACTTTCTGATGAATAGTTTTTGCTGTAGCCAGTTGAGAAATGTCAAGTTTAATTTGGGACACCCTGTATTTAGATTCTGAATAATAGCAATGAATCTAATTATTCTTATATCAGAAATAAATATACAGTAAACTAAATAAATTTCTCTAATTGCATAATTAATTTTTACAATTTTACATATGTATTTTATTGAATACTTGTTACAAATATGAGACCAGTCAAATGTAATTTATTTTTATAGGATTTTTAGTAAATTTATCAAAGCATTTTATTGCAGCTTTTTATATTTTTTATTTATATATAAAAAATTCTAAAGAATATTTCAGATAAAATCATAAACAAATTATAATCTTTCCTGTAGGCAGCTATGTACATATTTTTATTTTAATACTACCATCAACCCTCTTTAAACTGCCACCATTGGTTTTCTGGCCATGGTGGAATGGTGAGGGTGGTTGTTTATTGAAAACCATATGCAAATAGGAATGTCAAGATGATGATAATTGTCATTTGTCCAAAGTAGTTTAAACTACATTATTTTCTTGAGTTGTAGAGATAAATGTATCCAATGAGTCAACATGCATCAGATAATCCTTATTGGATGCACTTACAGAAAATGACGAATTTTCTTTAGACAAACTGGAGCTGCTTTCGCAGTTGCTAGAGGATTTTCTATGTCTTTGTTTGATCGACTTTGTTTTCTTCCTGCAATTGAATTTTCTTTTTTTTTTTACAGAATTAACTATTTTTTCTGAGGTTAACTCCACAAAATTATCCTCATTAAGACTGATTTCAATCAATTCTTCAGCAGCAAGTTGGATTATGGAAGTTAGGTAGTGATCTCAGCAATATTTTAAACATAACATTCAAACACTGTTGTTATAATCCTCATCAATTTATGTCTTCTCTCCGAATAGGCCAGTGTAGAGCCAACAATTTTTTGTCTTGGATGTCGCTTCATCCCACAATTTTCTAATTATACACAGTGCAAATTTCAGGGACATCTCAACAGGAATTTCATCATTGATGTCTTTGATAATTTTCCTCACTTGGTGATGTCTGTAGTTAGATTTAAAACATTTTATTATGCCAGTGTCAAGTGGTTGCAGAATTCCTGAGCAATTTATTGGAAAGAATTGTTTTTCAACATTGCTCAGGTTGACTGTCTTATGACAGGTTGCATAATCAATTAATATCAGGACATTAAGGTTTTCTCTCTCCATATCTCTATTAAAATCAACAAATTCTTGGAAAAATAATGCTGTTAGTCATCTCTTTTTGTTGTGCTTGTAGTGGCAATGAATGGAAGAATCAAAATTTTTAAAACAACAAGCATTGCTAAACTTCCGATAACAGTCGCAGTTCTTTTGTTGTAATGTATACAGTACTGATAAGTAGTGTATGAATTACAACAAAAGGCAATTATAATTCTGTCTTTATTCTTGCAGCCTTTCAAAAGTACACAAGCAATCATTTTGTTGGGTTGAAATCAGTAAAATAAAGTAATTTTATCCATTTTACATACATCTTTCATATCATATCATTATCATTGTTGACAGACTAGTTCTTCCCTCTTTTACAATATCCAAATCAACTTAGGCAGTTTCACTGTGATGAGCCATAATGCTGTTTAAATTGATGCAGCCATCCATTGCTGTAATTAAAATTGCTTATATTTATCTTCTGCCCAAATATTTCTGCTTGCTTTCTTATCACAATGCCATTCTTTGCATTTACTTGCACAATTCATATAATTAATGCTTTCTCAAGTTTGTCATATTTTCCAGTTTTAATTTTTCTGGTGGCTCTATTTTCTGCATTCATCCACTTGCTTTTTTGGTTTAAAATATCTCCTATCATCTGTCTATTTACATTTTTCTACCAGACAATAGAAAAGAAACTGGCAATATATTTTTAAGAACTGGATGGATGGGTTTCACTATATGCACAGATTTCTTGCTTTTTGCTGATTGTATGAATTGTTTTCTTCTTTGTTGTGAAAAAGACAATCAATCAATTCGGTAAGAAAAAACTGTTACTTGTGACAAAACTTCTTGTTTCTCACATATTAAAATTGCTGGGAATTCCTGTTTTTACAATGTTTTACCTTAATTTTTGTGACAATAAAAAATTGTGGCAGTTTATCCAAAATATTTTGTAGGGAAAATGACAATTTTATTTTAAATCATGGTTGACAGATGGTGGAAAATGGGGTGGCAGTTTATACTATCAATTTACTATAAAACGAATCGTTTTTCTGAGACTCATGGTTGGACATGGAGGGGCAGTTTAAAGGGAGTTAATTGTACTGTATTAAATAGGTATCCAGTAGTTCCTCTTTTCATAGCCATTTTCTAAAAAGCTCAGTTGTGATTCTAGCAAAAAATTAAAATCTTAATGTACTGTTTTACTAATACATATATTCATTATTCTTTTTGTTGTTACAAAGTGCATTTAAGCTGTAAATAACCCTTTTCAGTTGTAACAAATAAAATTAGTAAAATATGGTTTACATAATGCTTCCATAGAAACATTGTAATTTCAAACTTTTATCATTTTCTCTTAATTACACAAGTTTTAAATGATTTAGCTGCCAACAAATAATAATAATTATTAACAATTAGTTTTTTATAATTGTATAATGTTCTTTAATTCTTCTTTTTACAATACTTTTTTCTTTACAAATGATAGAAATATTTTTATTAATTGTACAACTATCTCTTCGACAATATTCATATCAAGGAGAATTAATATTTTTTGTGTAGCTGCTTCATGTTCTTTGACTTTTTTATTAACATTTTTCTTTTTGTTTCTCCAATATAACATTTTTTATCTAGTACAATTTATTTTATAAATTATACCTCCCATATTCAATATATTTTCTTTATTACTATTAAATATATAAATAATATTTTGTAATTTATTTTTATAGCTAGGTACTTAATTTATACCAATATATAATAATAATTTTTTATAAGTGTTTTTAGAGTTATATTAACAATAGATTTAATGTAAAATATATTTCTTATACAGTATTATTTACCTAGTAGTTTTTTGAGGTAACCACTTAACATAAAGATAGAAATTTCTGAAATATGTCATTTTCCTCTCATTTTTTGATTGTTCTACAAATTATTTTTTTGATTTCCATTAAGAATACATTTTTCTCTATGTATCAATACATTGGACAATAATATTTAAAGGAATTGTTTTCTTTACATTACATTACTTTCATATTTTCCTAATTATTAACTGATTCCCTTCACTACAAATGGTCTAGACGTAGAAATTAATAGTATTTTATTTGTTACTAGCAGACCCCGCCACGCCTTGTTGTGGCTCAAAATGTATCTATTATAAATGTATAACACTTCCCCCGTGGGGGAAAATTTTTCGAAAAATTTTTTTTAGTGTACATTCTCTTGACATACCCTATTAAAATGCAATCAAAAATGCAAAAAACCGCATCTAAAATTGTATAATAGAAGTGAAATTCTTCACAGTAAGCCTTAATCCTGTCCCTCTCCCCCCGGGGGGAATATCGAAAAATCCCTTCTTAGTGTACATTCTGTTGACGTAC